AAAGTACACTTTTAATACAATTAAGCACACTTCTTTTTCACAAGGGTATACGAGGGCAGTATGATAGCACTGGTGAAATGCATGACTGCAGCTATCTTCATTTAAGTAATAAACCCTGAGCCTTCGCAAAAAATGCAAGCGCTGACTAGCTCGTGTACAAACATAGTCCACTTGATGACTCCATTGCAGCTGAGAATCAAAGTAGATACCTAAATACTTATATGTTGTTACCTGCTCAACTTCCTCCTCATTAACTAAAATTGGACTATGGAGAACACACTTAAGTTGAAATTAAAATCAATTATTTTACATGTGCTTTAGTATATTGATAAATATATCAAAATAAGTGTACTTATTTAAAGCACACTAAAATCATAATTATGTCAAATGTACGTTTAAGTAATACTTAATTAGACATTATTATAAAGTTAAATTTTATAAAGTGCACTTAAGTATGTTAAGACCTATTGTCATTAAAGTGTACTCTCTTTAAGTACACTTAAGTGGCCTTTAATTTAATTTATATTATATTATCTGCAAGTGCACTTTTTAAAAAGTATACTTCTAAGATTTGAAGTACACAAAAAGTACACTTTTAATACAATTAAGCACACTTCTTTTTCACAAGGGTATACGAGGGCAGTATGATAGCACTGGTGAAATGCATGACTGCAGCTATCTTCATTTAAGTAATAAACCCTGAGCCTTCGCAAAAAATGCAAGCGCTGACTAGCTCGTGTACAAACATAGTCCACTCGATGACTCAGAGTAGATACCTAAATACTATAATATACATGCCGACATCTGAATTGTTTGTCAGCACACTGACTATAGCTGTATCATCTGAAAATGTAATAATGTAGTTGTTTATGTACCGATTCCTGCAATCATTCGTATGTAATGTAAAAATAAAGGGGGAGCTTACGCAGCCTTGAGGAACTCCAACATTTGTGACCAATATATCAGAGAAAGTTGAATTAATTTTCACTTGCTGTTGTCGTCCCGTTAGAAATGCATAATACCATTTAATTATATAAGGGTTCACTTCCATCTGTTTTAACTTAAATAACACAATATCTGGAAGTAAAGTATTAAACGCTGAACTCAGATCCATAAACATCACTCTAACATAAGCTGCAGGATTTTCAAGGTGTTTTAAAATAAAGTGTGTCATAGTATTCAAAGCATCTTCTGTACTCCTATTTTCTTTATACGCAAATTGATAAGGATCTAATTTATACACTACATCCTCTCTCAATTTCTCTGTCACAATACGTTCAAGTGATTTCATCACTATGGACGTTAACGCCACTGGTCTAAAGTCATTATTTTCCTCTGCTGGATGTTTTTTTGGAACAGGGATAACGACTGCTTTTTTCCATATTGTAGGAATAAATCCAGTGTCGAGTGATAATTGAAATAATGGACTCCAGGCTGGAGTTAATTCATCAGCAAATGTTTTAAGTAAAAGAGCTGAAATACCATCCGGCCCACTGGACTTTTTGGTATGCAGCCTTTTAAAGATCTTAGCAACATTAGCAACAGTCCTTTGTGAAATCACGTTACTGAACTCAGCAATCTCTACATTTATCAATACTACCACTCCTACCACTCCCAAAACGATTAGAAAAGTTATTAAATTCATTTGCTTTTTCATTTAAAACCTGTATTTCTTTCTTGTTTGGATTTAAATGTATCATTCCTCTCACAACATCCCACAACTATTTAGTATTTGAAGTTGAAATAGCTTCTCGAACACGTAAACTGTGTTTACACAGTTCCCTCAATTTTCTCCTTAGTTCCCTTTGAATTTCTCTAAACTCCATTTTATTATTGTTTTTAAAAGCTTGATTTCTCCTCCTAGTATATTGCTTAATCTCGGGAGTAATATATTCCTTATTATTTGGATAAATGTTAATGGTCTTTTTTGGGACCACAGTATGAACACAAAAATGAATATACTCTGTAATCACTTCCGCAATACTCTCAATATTGTCATCTTGATAAAAACATCCCAATTTGTAGCCAGAAAACAACACTCGGCTCCTCTTTTGTAGTATGCTGCCGCACATGAACTGTTCTTAAACCGGTGTACTCTTCCTAAAGGCAGAGCTGTCAATAGGAATTAACTGGATGGTATTATGGTCCGACTTTGAAAGAGGAGGCCTAATCTTAGCTACATATGCTTCTTTGATGTTACCATAACATTGATCTAATCTTCATTTGCTTGAACTTCCTCCAGCCAGAAGAGCTCAATAATCTCACGCAGGCCACTGATTGATCTAGAAGCTTTATTGGTTCTCATTAACATCTCAAAATGCATTCACAGAGCTCAGACAGCGGGACGCGTTTCATTCACAGTTATTGGCATGACAAACGCTGCTCGCTTTAGCAGATAAATATATTTAAATACAATAGCTTCTGTTGAGGAAGCTTCATGTAAACGTGTTCATCCAGAGATGATCCTGCAGGGGAGCTCAGATGTCTTGATATCTAGAAAAGTTGCTAAGATAACCGAGTATGACAGAGAAACTCCAGTCAATCAAGTAAAATCACAGTCATAGGAACTAAAACGCCACAAAAAGCCAATACTGGTACTCTTCCACTTCCCTCATTAAAAAAAGAAAGCAGACCTGAAGTGCATTTCATTTTCTGAAGGATCAAAACCACGTTTCTCAGACATTAAACAAGATATTTCATTTATTCTGCAAGCAGTATCAGAGCAACTTGATGAAGATGCAGTCGTGTGAATGAACCGAAGAGTGAGGAACACAGACAGACAGAGACAGAGATAGAGCTGAAGATGAGGAGTGGAGATCAGAGCCGCTCCAGAATCACTCGGACTTCTTCTTCGCTCCAGGAACCTTGGCCTGAATCCTGAGACACACACACACAGAGTCATATGGACGTTACTTTGACTCCATCACCACTGATAACAGATCACTCTTCACTGTAATCTACAAACAAACATCTCCTGCTAGCTGCTTTGAACAAATTTAATTAAATATTAATTACCAAGTCACACTGTGCATCAGACTAACCCACAGCAAGTCCTCAAGATGCTTCTTTAACATGAGAATCAGTGCACGAGCTACTGTATGCTGAGGACTGATGTAGACCAGGCCGGATGGTTGTACTTTGAGGTCTGAATTCTAATTCTAGTTTAGGTCTAATTCTAATTTAACACTTGTCAGTTAATGGCTAATGGTCAGTTAACAGACACCAGATTACAATCAGGGGAAAACTCTAAAATGAGTGTGTCTAGTCCACTCTAAATAAACTTTGACTTACTGGCCCTTGACATCCTTCACCCGGCTCTTCAGCGTGAAAATGAACTGATCGATTTGAGTCTGCAGGACAGACAGAACATGACCATCATACGCACTGGATCATCAACACACACTCACACTCACACACTCACACACACACACACACTCACACACACACACACTCACTCACTAGTTTTTTTGACATTCAACATCAAGTTGTGTTCCTCACACCACTGCACAACCCCTTTATATCTCTTATTTATACATGCCGACATCTGAATTGTTTGTCAGCACACTGACTATAGCTGTATCATCTGAAAATGTAATAATGTAGTTGTTTATGTACCGATTCCTGCAATCATTCGTATGTAATGTAAAAATAAAGGGGGAGCTTACGCAGCCTTGAGGAACTCCAACATTTGTGACCAATATATCAGAGAAAGCTGAATTAATTTTCACTTGCTGTTGTCGTCCCGTTAGACATGCATAATACCATTTAATTATATAAGGGTTCACTTCCATCTGTTTTAACTTAAATAACACAATATCTGGAAGTAGAGTATGAAACGCTGAACTCAGATCCATAAACATCACTCTAACATAAGCTGCAGGATTTTCAAGGTGTTTTAAAATAAAGTGTCATAGTATTCAAAGCATCTTCTGTACTCCTATTTTCTTTATACGCAACTGATAAGAATCTAATTTATACAACACATTCTCGTTCAAGTGATTTCATCACTGTGGGCGTTAACGCCACTGGTCTAAAGTCATTATTTTCCTCTGCTGGATGTTTTTTTGGAACAGGAATAACGACTGCTTTTTTCCATATTGTAGGAATAATTCCAGTGTCGAGTGATAACTGAAATAAGTGACTCCAGGCTGGAGATAATTCATCAGCAAATGTTTTAAGTAAGAGAGCTGAAATACCATTCAGCCCACTGGACTTTTTGGTATGCAGCCTTTTAAAGATCTTAGCAACAGCACTTTCTATCCTTTGTGAAATCACGTTACTGAACTCAGCAATCTCTACATTTATCAATACTACCACTCCCAGCCAGTTCAAAACGATTAGAAAAGTTATTAAATTCATTTGCTTTTTCATTTAAAACCTGTATTTCTTTCTTGTTTGGATTTAAATGTATCATTCCTCTCACAACATCCCACAACTATTTAGTATTTGAAGTTGAAATAGCTTCTCGAACACGTAAACTGTGTTTACACAGTTCCCTCAATTTTCTCCTTAGTTCCCTTTGAATTTCTCTAAACTCCATTTTATTATTGTTTTTAAAAGCTTGATTTCTCCTCCTAGTATATTGCTTAATCTCGGGAGTAATATATTCCTTATTATTTGGATAAATGTTAATGGTCTTTTTTGGGACCACAGTATGAACACAAAAATGAATATACTCTGTAATCACTTCCGCAATACTCTCAATATTGTCATCTTGATAAAAACATCCCAATTTGTAGCCAGAAAACAACACTCGGCTCCTCTTTTGTAGTATGCTGCCGCACATGAACTGTTCTTAAACCGGTGTACTCTTCCTAAAGGCAGAGCTGTCAATAGGAATTAACTGGATGGTATTATGGTCCGACTTTGAAAGAGGAGGCCTAATCTTAGCTACATATGCTTCTTTGATGTTACCATAACATTGATCTAATCTTCATTTGCTTGAACTTCCTCCAGCCAGAAGAGCTCAATAATCTCACGCAGGCCACTGATTGATCTAGAAGCTTTATTGGTTCTCATTAACATCTCAAAATGCATTCACAGAGCTCAGACAGCGGGACGCGTTTCATTCACAGTTATTGGCATGACAAACGCTGCTCGCTTTAGCAGATAAATATATTTAAATACAATAGCTTCTGTTGAGGAAGCTTCATGTAAACGTGTTCATCCAGAGATGATCCTGCAGGGGAGCTCAGATGTCTTGATATCTAGAAAAGTTGCTAAGATAACCGAGTATGACAGAGAAACTCCAGTCAATCAAGTAAAATCACAGTCATAGGAACTAAAACGCCACAAAAAGCCAATACTGGTACTCTTCCACTTCCCTCATTAAAAAAAGAAAGCAGACCTGAAGTGCATTTCATTTTCTGAAGGATCAAAACCACGTTTCTCAGACATTAAACAAGATATTTCATTTATTCTGCAAGCAGTATCAGAGCAACTTGATGAAGATGCAGTCGTGTGAATGAACCGAAGAGTGAGGAACACAGACAGACAGAGACAGAGATAGAGCTGAAGATGAGGAGTGGAGATCAGAGCCGCTCCAGAATCACTCGGACTTCTTCTTCGCTCCAGGAACCTTGGCCTGAATCCTGAGACACACACACACAGAGTCATATGGACGTTACTTTGACTCCATCACCACTGATAACAGATCACTCTTCACTGTAATCTACAAACAAACATCTCCTGCTAGCTGCTTTGAACAAATTTAATTAAATATTAATTACCAAGTCACACTGTGCATCAGACTAACCCACAGCAAGTCCTCAAGATGCTTCTTTAACATGAGAATCAGTGCACGAGCTACTGTATGCTGAGGACTGATGTAGACCAGGCCGGATGGTTGTACTTTGAGGTCTGAATTCTAATTCTAGTTTAGGTCTAATTCTAATTTAACACTTGTCAGTTAATGGCTAATGGTCAGTTAACAGACACCAGATTACAATCAGGGGAAAACTCTAAAATGAGTGTGTCTAGTCCACTCTAAATAAACTTTGACTTACTGGCCCTTGACATCCTTCACCCGGCTCTTCAGCGTGAAAATGAACTGATCGATTTGAGTCTGCAGGACAGACAGAACATGACCATCATACGCACTGGATCATCAACACACACTCACACTCACACACTCACACACACACACACACTCACACACACACACACTCACTCACACACTCACACTCTCTCTCACACACACACACACACACACTGTGACACTCTGCCAAACTGACATGAACATTACATGACGCTCAAGAGAACGCTGCATGTATTTTCACTTGGAAAACCATCTAATTCATTCAATAAATTGCCTTTTGCGGTTTCATCAATCACACATGATTTCAGCCGGAAAACAACAGCCGTGACCATTACCTGATGTGTCTCATAGACTATTGGGCCGCTGAAAGCTCCAATCAGACCTGCAGCACAAGAGATAATAAAACACCACTGAATGTAATTATGGCTCATCTATGATCAGGAGCTCTGTAGAACGACCCATAATAAAGCATGAAAGTACAGAATGAAGTGAAAGCGACTCAGTGACCTTACCGAGAATGAGCAGCGTGAGTCCGTTAAACCAGGCACCGACATATGTGAGGACCCACAGAAACACTGCGAACTGGAGAAGAAACAGAACATGTTCACTGTGAACAAGTGTGTCTGACAGATCCTGACAGCAACAAACGTCACTGATTGGCACACAGACCAGACTAGACTTCAGTCGTACCTGCACACTCATGAGGAAAGAAGAGGTGCACACAGTATATATTACAACAATAGAGAGTAAATCAATGTTTAGGATTAATATAGGGATTGATATTACAATACAATCTAATATATTTGCAATGAAACTCTTATCATCATTGTTGTTATGAGAATATAGTCACGTGACTGCATTATCCTTTATGCACCATTACAGGACGCTTGGAAAATGGTTGAGGTGATTTGATTGACATGGTGCCCAGAGCAGAATTAATTTCAGCGGTAATGGATCTGGTAGAGATGTAGAGCTGGATGTCATCAGCGTAGCAGTGGAAGTGCAGAATATGATGACGTGAGACTACCAAGGGAAAGCATGTGAAGGGTGAATAGAAGGGGGCCGAGCACCGAACCCTGGGGTACACCTTGAGACAGAGAGGCTGTGGAGGAAGTACAAAGACAAACTGCTGTCTGTTTGTCAGATATGACCTTTGGCAGGACGGGAGAGTGCCAGTGATGGAGGAGGATTCAAGATGGGAGAGAAGAATGGTATGGTTGAGAAGCTGCAGTGAGGTTAAGAAGGATGAGGATGCTGTGGAAACCAGTCTGAAGAAAGGAGGTGGTTGATAGTGACTACTATGGATTGTGTACTATGCTGCAAGTAAAAACCTGAATTGAAGGCTATGGCTCTGAAAATAATCCAGTCTTTTTGGCAGAAAGGAGAGATGGCTCAGAAATTGCCCATGATTTTTTAAGAACTGATAGTCGAAGGATGACAAAAGCCAGTTTAAGTGTTTGTGGGACTGAACTAGAACTGAAGGAAGCATTAGTGACTTCAGCGAGGAGAAAACTGGAAAAAATTCCTTGAAAATATTAAATGAGATAGGATTTCATCTCCTACCATGCAGCCGGACAGCTCTGTTGTGCTCAGGCATGAAAACAGAGACAGGCGAAATCGTGAACAGAGCTGAAATACACGGAGAAGTGGAAAGGGTGATGGATGTTGGGTTGAAGGAGTTGGAGGTGTTATCACTAGGTTTGAGGAGTTTATTTATTGTAGAATGAGAGCTTTGAGGTCAATGGAGTCAGAGTCTATGAGGTCAGAGGAACAGGTTGAACAGGCTGTGAAGAGAGCGTCTGTTTTGTTGAATGATCTGAAGATGCACTGTGAGTCTTTGCCGTTTGCTGGGATTTCATTTCATGAGGTTCAGGTGAATACCAGCGAGCCGAGTGTGTAGATGAAACCATTTCAGTTTTGATAGCAGCCAGCTTATCAAGACGAGAGGAAAGCGTATCAATATCACAGTTAAGAAGACAGGAGGACTGGCATGACAGCAGAAATCTTACTGACAAAAGAGGGCCAGAGAGCAGAGCGAGAGGGATGTCGGAGACTTATGAAATACAGAGAGCAGCAATGACCAGAGTTTAAAATCAAACTATTCAAACAAATGAGCAGCAGTGATGAAGATGGCGGCTGTTTTCAATTCCATCTTGTACTCAACAGCTCCCCCTGAACACAAGGCTCACAGGTAAATCCTGTGGGTGTGGTCTGGTGTAGTAAGACATAATCCAGAGGTTTCGGGGTTCAGTGAAAGTGTTGTCAGTTGAGTGGATGAATATTGAGCTTTGTAGTTGGCTGTATGGCTTGAGTAAGGAGACTGAACAGACTGACATGCTGTTTACTGTGATGACGTAATGATGAAGTCTGGTTAGGAGGGCATAGCACAAGTTCTTACTCATTATTTAATTTCAGATTCTATGAACTGGTTAGAAATCAAGCCAATGTTCAAATACATACAAAAGATATTTGTATAAACTGTACTCTCACTTCTGTTATCTCTCCCTTTATTTAAAATCTTTGGAAAACAGTTTTTTTTTGACGTGTGTTTAATCTCTGTCCTGACAGCTTTATTTTCAATTCATGAAACGTACTTTTGATACTCAAAGGGATAGTTCACCGAATAATTCTGCAAATTCCTTTGCCATTTACTCGCCTTCATGCTGTTCCAAACCGGTATGACTTTCTTTCTTCAGTAAAAAAACATAAGATAAGTGGTCTTTAAAATATCTTCTTTTGATTCCAGAGAAGAAAAGAAAGTCACAGGTGTTTGAAATGCCATGATGGGAAGTAAAAGATGACAGATTTATAATTTTTGGTGAACTATGCCTTTAAATATATCAGTTAATAAAAGTATTTCTCCTCATGACCTACTATAAAACTATATAAACTTCTACTTGAGTCAAGTTAAATGTTTAGGTTATGCACGTTTTCATTTACTCTACAGAAAGACTCTTCAGACCTTCAGCGAGTCGATCAGGTCCTCCACCAGAAACAGACGCCGCAGCTCCTTCAGCGCGCCATTGATTCTGCTCAGAACCACGTCACTGTGCCTCTGCACCACATCTTTAGACAAAGCTACATCCTGATCCAGGTACCGTCTGTGAAAATGAGTTGAAAAATCATCTGTCATTCAAGAAGAGCAGCACCTATTGATTTGAATTATGGGGACACTCATAGGGGTAGGGGACAAGGGGTCTAGACCTGAGACACTAGGGGCACATTAATAATGTAGGTCAGACTGTTTCTGCTCTGGACTCACTTGAATGGATGCCCCTCATCAGACTTCTGGACGGCCTGCAGGACTCCCCTGTATGTCCTGAAGGAGAGGGTGAGGGACAGCAGGGCCAGTGCGGAGTAGGACAGCACACTGATGATGCTGCAGCTGAGGAGGGAGAGCAGGAGGAAGAGGCTGCAGCCCAACACCAGCCCGCTGGCCCTCACATCCCGCCAGTACAGCAGCTCCAGCACTGAAACACACACACACACGTCAGCCTCACGGACCTCAGGGACGGGATGGACATAAGCAGAGAATGAGACGAGCACATGCAGATGATGTGACTGATGCCAGTCTGTGATAAACGCGTGTTTACGGTCACTTAACAGTCTACCATCACACTCACAAACATCTCAGACTCACAGTCTTCTGCTAAACACAGACAGAGCTCATCTCCTGTCACAAACACACATTTTATATACTGTAAGTAAAGGGGAAATTCACCCACAAACTCATCATTTACAGGCCACCTCTTCAGTTTTATTCACATTTTATGCTGCAGTCTTACACCGAAATGCATTACACTGGGTTTTTTTCACCTAAATCTATACTCCATACATGACAAAGCAAAAACCACATTCAAGATGACTTTGCAAATTTATGAAAAAGTGGTCAAGCAGAGATTATTTGACCACATTTACTTTTCAGAAGTTAATGTGTGTGTATACACAAACACACAGCAACAACAACAACTCATCAGAGACATTTTTCTCCTTAACAGGAGAAGGTTTACTATGGCAACCATAATTTCTACCAAAATACCAATAACTGTGCCATCAAATAATATGGCATCTCCTTCAAACAGTGTAACTCTTACAAAAATGCACCACGATATTACCATGTTTCAGACAATGTGTGGTTTCTGGACACTATTGTGCCTCTGTGAACATACATACATGCTATTTGAATACAATAATGAAACAGTTTGAAGCCATCATCATCATCATCATCATCATCGCAAGAGCTGCTTCATTGTACCATAGAGCCCCATTCTGCTATTTCAGACCTGTTTGAAGAAGGGTTGAGATGGAGTGAAGCGCTGGCCTCAGGCCACACCCCGCTGATCCTTCACACGCTGAGCTCGGTGTGTGAGCGTGAGGAGCGTCAGATCACGCGCATCTGCTAAAGCCCAGGAGACACGCGCCTGATTCCAGATCCGTGTTAAACCGCGCTGAGAAACACGGCTCACGCACGCTCCTCATTTTACAAGACACAGCAGCAAATCATTAAACAAGGACTACTTCTGCCCCACCGCACCCAGAACCTTTGGCCAGATTATCTGCGCGATACTGACTCTCTCCAGGAGCAAAGGTCATCTCTGTCACCGCAGCACGCTCTGCTGAAGCCCTGCATTCACACTCAAGCTGAACGGCCTCGTCTCGCCTCTTACCGACAGCACAGCGTCAGTCAGACGCCACACACACACCAACAGCGCAGCTAGAAGCAACAGCACTCAAGCGTCACAAGTAAATTACAGTGAGAGTGAGTGTGTGAGAGAGTCCGGCTCTACCCTTGTGTGTCCAGTTCACCGCGGGCCGCTCAAGCGTCTCGTCCATGCTGCTGTGCCACAGTGACTGGAGACTGCAGGCGATCAGAGCCCAGAGGAAGACTAGCGCTGATAGCGGCGGGAGGAGGAGGAGGAGGAAGAGGAGGAGGGAGTCTCCTACACCAGATAAACGCAGCTCTCGGCTGAAAGTGAAACACGGCTCCTCTCAGCCACCACCTACATAGGGGTGTGCGATATTGACAAAAAATTATCTAAAAATTTTCTGGGATTTTATCGATAATGATAATTAGACGATATTTTGCTGAGAGTGTTATTGTGCTGGTATCTTAAGGACTGCCGTGGACAGTTGACTCCTAAAGTTTTTGATATTCTTCACATTCTGTGTGGTGATCAGTAGTGCTGTGTTCAAAATATCGATACGACGATGTATCGTCACAGAGATTTGACGATAAGAGTATCGATACAGCTGGCCCTGTATCGATATTGTGGCACGTGTGCAGCAGTGGACCACGCTTAATTTGTTTAAAATTTTACAACGTTTAAAATTGAGCAGAAAAGTGCGAGGTTTCTAAAAAAGAATGAATAGAGCATATAGGCTACAACAAGGTTTAATCTGGCCGCAGAGGAACACAACGGGGTTGCCTGATATAAAGAGACGTAATCCCCAAAACAGAGCTACGGAAATATCTGCTAAGTGTGCTACATATCTTTGTCAACCTGGCAACCATGTGCAC